GATGCAAACGACGTGATCCGCAATCCGGATCACTCACCTTGACACGGATAGTCGGCGTTCAGCCAATTACTCAGTTGACTAATCCTCGTGCTACCGCCAAATACGAATAGTCTGGCAGTAGCGTCTTCGAACGAAATTAGGCAAAGGAATAGGGAAAGGAATGCCATCCAGACCTAAAAGTGCTGAGTATGATGTGTTTTGGTTGCAACACATTTCGGAATGCGTAAAACGAAAAAGACGTTTTGATAAGAAAACAAAAGAGAGCATGTTCGTCGACGTCTCAGATTGTCTTTGGCTTATGGTGCTCACCAACACCTTGCAAAAAAACAAGCACCTGAGCGGAATCATTTTTTGTTTTCTCCTAAAGGAGTGAAGCAGCGGAGAAGTAATCATTTGCATAGCGTTGTGTCGATGGCTTGCTTGTCAACAAAATAGCCAATACTGACGACCAATCTGATTTCTTTGAGGGATCAAATGTCTCGTTGAAAAATAAGCAACTCTTTCTAGGTTGTGAAGCTTTGTCACTGCCAGGTTTAAGTTGCAATGGCAGAGACCATTTTTACTTCGTTTTCGCACGCATGAGTTCCATGTAGCTTAGCTATCCATGATAAACCACTGCACAAAACTATGTGAAAGGACAAAAGGACTATTTATCTCGGCCTTTGGAAAATCGCATGCTAAGAAATAAGAATGATGAAAATCGTTTCATGTTTAAAGATTAACCTACTTCAACGTATAATGAAACCACCCTTTCCTTACTTAGAAGAGCTTTGTTTGGTTACCAAAGTAGCAAATTCAATGAGAAACTGCATTATTTTCTGGTAAAACATTGATATTCCCAGTCAATAAGAACTTCTCACAAACAGACATAATATTTGCTGATTTGGAATAATGGAAGCATACCTAGTCATCAACTTTCAAGGAAAATGTCCCAGATGAAGTCACAATTTGAGTTTTGGTTAGCTTTCGTTCTCTGAAGAATTTTCACGGCTTAGTTTAACCAGTTTTTTACTTTAAGATGCATAACTTACTAATCCCTTTTATTTTTATTTTATTTGAGCTGTCTTCACGTCTACTGTGCGGATTCCAGCACTTCTCATATACCACTCATTTCTTCGCATCCATCATCCACGAAGATCTTCCAACTTTTACGTGTGGCTTCGCTTGCTGCTTGAGGATTTCCATTTCATCTTGAATGTCGTAGAATGCTGCTCGAGCATTTCTCCTTGGAGTCCTAAGATAGGCGGCTGGAGCATTCCTAATTGGACTGCAGAGAGATTTTTTCCCAGAGAAGTCCGGTACCAATTTCCTAAATCAAGAGTGATGAAAGGCCCGGTTGGCCCGGAGAGGAATCCAGCTAGCACCAGGCTCGTGATGACAAATTACTAATTAGTGCTGAGGTTTTCGAGTCGACATCAATTCTACACCTCATGCACGTGATTTCAATGTTTTCATAAGCTCAATTTGTAATTGGATAATGAGCGGAGAAGTCTTGCAATATTATAGCAGCCTGAGAAAGAAAGAACATCGGGGATTCCACTGCCGTCCAAAGCAGTCGCCAGAACGTACTGTCAGAGTTGCGTGCACCCTTTTGTTGTACTGCGTGCCAGCAGCGTTACTAATGAACACTTGCTGAATCGATGCTCATCTTCACGTGCACTAGAGAGTCTTCGACCGAACGGGCCGACCTCAGATCTGATTCCCATCGATAGTAAATAGAATATAATAGAATCAAAAACCACTGCTCTGATAGGACAATAATGAGACGTAGTTGTTGAAGGAAATCTTTTACATACGACCTTTCCTTAACTCACTTCATTTTTTCCACAGCTCGTTAGTGAATGTTTGTCGCTAGAGCCGGTTTGAATAACACGTGAACAAAGAATGAAAACCTGGGATCACACATTTCACTTCTATCAATTGGTTCATGAACAAACAGCGAGAGCATACAAAATATTTTATGAAATTTATTAGCTCTAAACGGCTTCCAAAATCCTATGCAAAAAAAACTTCAGTACTCTGAAGAGTCCGGAGGAAATAGGAAAAAATAACGTTGGAAAACAATGCGAAGTACAGGAACGTGATTAAGAGGTGGCCTACTGTCCCACTAACTGCAATGTAATTTGAGTGCCCGCCGCTGTCTGATAAACATCATGCAGGTAGCTATAAACCGTTTAGTCTTCCACTTGTTGACCACTGAACTTCAATGCAAGTAACATGTTTATTCACCTAAGGATGCGACTTATCTTGCTGTTAGATTTTCCTTCAGGCACAGCATATTAGAAAAGCTCTTCTGCAATCCACCTGAACTATTAGTGCTCCACGCAAGGAAGACATTTATATTAGTGTATGCAGCATAACACGGACTAGAGCATAACGAAGAACGGTCGACTTCGCATCCATCGTTTCGATGGAAAGCATTTTTCACTTCTGAGACGGTGCAAGATGCTTGACCACTATGCAAGAACGAGCTTCATTGCTACTAACGTTTGGAGAAGGGAATTAAGAGTGCCAGCGTAGAGTAGTGGCTACGTGGAGACGCAGTTACCCTAGCACCTGCAAGGATGAGGAGGATATGCATTCAGGTCGTCAGTTACTATGTTGGAACACGCCGACGACAATTTCAACTGCGCCGAATTAGGTCTCTGTTTGAGTGCTGATTGAATAACGGTGTGCTACAACAATGTGCTCAAATTAGTATCGATTACAGTGGAGCAGAAATATAGGAAATTTTGGGATAAATTTAATTTTAGCGGGAGCATGTAGCGCAGCAGAGGTGCTCTGCAGCGCGCACCTGGTCGTTGCTCCGATGCCTCACCCCGGACTCCCCAAGTCTTTTATCCTTCCAATTCACTGAAATGCTACTAGAGAAAAGTCTGGGAAAATAGCAACACTGATTTGATACATCGACAGGCTATAGCAATTCTTTGTTCAGGTCACATATGCATTCGACCACGTCTAACGATATCTGCTGATGTCGAATGTATGGCCTATCTCTGTAGATTAATCAATGCTGAATGCTTACCTTTTCTTAGCCAACTTTAACAGAAGGGCAAAAACGAGCTTTTATTCTAATCTTGGTAGTATTTGGTAAAAGTGTCATACCTGAGATCAATGGTTTTCCAGAGCACAGGGCGTAGCAATATCTCAAAAATTGACGGCCGTTTAACCTCGGTGTTACAAGTCAACACATATTCCTTTGTTGGTAAGCTAGCACGAGGTTGATAAGGTTGATAAAAAAAATTATTCGGCTAATATTTTGGCGCCTTTGCTTTCCTCAAAGCCGGATTGGTCCGAGTCGACTGTCCGCAGTTTTTTCTTCTTCCGAATGGTATTGCTCTGTGCTAGCAATGTTGGTAATGGTTAGTAATGATGCCGACTGCTGCACCATGGATTATTCGGAGAAAAACGAGCTATTATTAGCAGGCAATTACTATCAACAACAACTGTCCCTGTATAAAAGAGCACTGGCGCGTGAGGTTCTTTATTCGAGTGCTGTTCCACTGGATTGGACCAGATGAGATCACGAAGACCACTTTTGCAAGAAGGTAGAACTGTGGACGACCAACCTGGATCAATCCGGGATCTGATGAAAGCGTAGGCGCTGAAATTTTAGCCTAACAAGATTTTTTGCAAGCCTCGTATTAGCATATTAGTGAAAGGACAAAGGTTTTCCACAACGTTAAAGACAGTTTTTTATTACTTAATCTTTCGTTTAAGCAACCGTAAAGCTAAGCGCTTGGTGAATTTCCACAGCATGAAAAGAGCTAGTTGTTAAATGAGTAAAGTTCGCATGCATCAGAAGAGACTGTAATAAGCGCCAAGTTCTAAAGAGTCGGGCAAAAAAATGGTTAAATTTCTTTTAAATATTCTGTATGGAGAAAAATTATTTAGGATGAAATGTTAAGCAAGTGCAGAATTGCACTGTAATTCATACATTTTAAGAAGCAAATAAATCAAACAGTGATTGTTTACTGCAGTGGGATGGCGTGTTTAAGTTAGGTCATCTGCAATTCCGCAAACTATCAAGTAGCACAATTGCGCTCCAAGAAAGAAACGTCGAACTTGGTTTCAGCTTAGACGAGCGAAAACAGTGTCCCTTGCACGTCCATACCCAGGAACATTCGAAGATAGTGGCGCTAGACAAGTTTATAGAAAATAGTCATTTTTGGCGCTTTGTCAGTTCAATTAACGAAAGTTTAATGAAACTCGACCAAGATCCTTATTCAGACGGCGCATAGATTCTAGGTTCAATATTTATGCATGGTGCGCCACTTGAAGCATTCCTCATGCCTAGAAACCATGGAAAGGCTACAAATCTGCGTAGTCATCTAACCGTGTGTCCACACTCGTATCATCTTCGAAACAACTTATAACTTAGCTATCTGTCCACTCTGCCTGCACGTCAGGTCCCCTCACGAAAGCTATGAAGGTTCCATGTACTACGCTCCTACCTGAAATACATTTTCTCCAGTCTTTCTGTGCACTACTTTTTCACACGAAGAGATCAGAACTCAATATTTCAATTTATTTCGCACATAAAATCTCTTCACTTCGTGTTTATGAACATTGAAAGCGATGATATGATAACTCAGAGAGTTGATCCTCCCCTCACGATCATGGAACAATTGGGTCACAAACATGTAGTATATGCAGGAACTGTCATGATTGAAATATAGAAACATCCTGCAGTAATATAAAAATTTAAATATTATAAATGCATAAATAAGGTGATCACATTGGATCACATTATTATAATTCTCCATGACCATGATAGCCATCTCACAGAGACCGACAACCCAGAGAAGGAATGTGGCATATTGGGAAAGCTTCCTCTACGATAAACAGTAAATAAAATCATTGCTGAAAGGGCTTCTGAAATGAGGAATGACAGTGTTTTGAATGTAAATTGAGGAGAAAAAGCACGGTTGGTGCAGAGGACGTTGCAGAGAAGTCCTCGTTCATACCATAACTGCTGGACTAAAAGCTCGAGAGCTCTGTCAGTCGTCGTTGAACGGCATCAAGGTGTGCCATTGTGCCACTGACCTCCTTGGTGTGGCCAACATATCTGTCCACTGCTTCAGTGCTGCCCCTGTCGCGTTCGGACCGATTATTACCTGAAACCCTTCACTATGAATTGTCTTATACAGCAAAAAACCCAGAATATCATCGCTTTTCAATAGGTTTGCCATAACTTCCCATTTCTACTTCACAGACTTACAGCTCCTCTCATTACCAGAAATGTTTGACGACTTAGCCTCACAATCAGCCATGTTAATTTTCGCGCATCATGCAAAAAAATTAGTTGACCGAACAGCGAGAGTTATTCCCACAGTTCGTTGACACCCAGCCGAAATTAATTATTTTGGTAGGGGTCTTTTAACAAAGTTCATGCAGCATAAGTATCCTGTCAATGCCCGTGTAGGCGCGCATATAGCGCAGTATCCAGAGGCGTCCTGCAATGCACAAGGGATCGATTCCCGCACTCCAAGTTCACAAAGCCATCCATCGCTCCGGGATCGGCAAATTGGTACGACTTTCCTGAGACGACACCGGCACTGACTCGATACATCGGTATCCATGCGAGTCATTGTATAGGCTTGATATGCATTCAATCAACTCTAACGATTGTTATTGAAGTCGAGTGCATGGTGCATCCCGCAGGGATTGATCAACGTCAAGAGCTTTATCCTTTACTTATCAATGGCCGAAACTTTACAAGCAAAGTGTAATAAGGTTGGGAATGACGTTATATTTGAACCACTACCATTTTAACCCCTCGAAGACTCCATTTATAGGTTTTTGCCTCAAAAATGAGCGTACTATCAAAACAGTCACATCGGATTTATTTTTTTCCAAAGCAAACCCGGAAACAAAGAAAGTTTTGCAAATCTTTTTAAGGTTAGGAATATTGCAAGGTAATAAGTAACGGTATTTACCAGTTTTGTAATGCAAGCCATAGCTTATGAAGTATAAAGAAAAAAACCATCCTTAACATTGAAGGAGACTGTGGAAAGTGTTGAAAACTTTTTATGGCTTAATATAAAAGATAGAGCATGAGTAATGCAGTCGTAATCATGCGCTTTAGCACGCTCGAAGACCTGATTTGACCCTACACGAGGCCGAAGGAGCCTCCTAACCCTCCAGAGCCGATAAAATGGCAACAACAAGTTTGTCTGGAAAACTCAGATGGGTCCACAAAACTTTGAAAAACTTTTTCTGGCCTCGATGGATGAAAGATTCGATCGGCATTCAAAGCCATTCTTGATGAAGCTCAAAAACCTCAAGAAGCAGCCGAAGCCACACACAAATCCGAAACCCATCATGGAAGAAAGATGTGAGGAAACGAATTAAATCCAAGCGCTGGCACCGGTACAACATATAATGACGGGTCTTGCAAAATTTGAAAAAAAAGGATTATTTTATCGTTACTTTTACATGAGTCGTCTTCACGTCTTCTATGCGGATCCGCGCACTTCTCACATTCGATTCGTTTCCTCGCATTCATTACTCACGAAGATTTCCACCTTTTACATGTGGCTTCGGCTGCTGCTTGAGGATTTTCACTTCATCTTGAATGTCGTAGAATGCTGGACGAGTCGATTTACCCTAGAGTTCTGAGATAGCCGAGCTAGAGCGTTCTCAATCGATTTCAAAGAGTGATTTCTTTCCAGAGAGATCCGGTACCAATTTCCTTACCCCGGAGAGATGAGAGGCTTGGTGAACGCGGAGCGGAGTAACTAGTGTCGTGCTTGGGATCATCTGATGATCGGTATCGCTACCAATGTGCTATCTGCCATACAAACAAAGAAATAAGGAGGGTTACATCTTCTTTCACTATTTCTTTAGAAGGATGAAAAATCTCATGGTGAAAAATCAATCTTCAATAGAAAGAAAACCTTTAGGCTTTCTAAAGTAACATAAATACTTGGCCTTAATGGAACGAGGATATCTGGAGGAAACCAAACGAGTGTATTGCAAAATTGTGAACTCATACTTGTCCAATCCTTTCATTCGAGCCAACTCGATCGTAATCAGAGACAGTGATGTGAAGATGTACCCTCTGTAAGGAAAGCAATGAACTTAATATAACTCATTTTCTAGAATTGGACACGATTTCAAAATAGAATCAAGGAGAATAGGAAGGTTCTGGTCATACCTGCATTTTCTCTGGTGTCACATCGAAACTGAACGATTCGTTGTAATATGGATTCAATGTTTTCATTTTGATTGTGGTTTTTTTCTTCTCTAGACGTTTGTTTTGCAACATCAAGTAAATCTTCACATATGGATCTATGAAATGGGAAAATAAAAATTAGATGTAATAGCATAAAATATAAGAAAGATTTTATGGAAATAACAATGATAACTTTTCGGAGCTAACCCTCGAGATTTTGGTAAACATCGTTTTTCCCTCGTAGCCTGAAAAGCACTGCTAGGACTTCTCCAGGTCGTCATCAATTGCCAGTTAATGACCATATCACTGTCAGGATAGTAGCGATCCCCGGCATTACTTTACTACGCTACTCTTTCGAATGGAAATGCTTCACTTCGTTCTAGCAGCAACACCCAGATGAAGGGTGAACTCTCCTTTACAGAGCAGACAGACACATGAAAATTTTGGTTTTTCTCACTAATTATGCAATATAGAGCGGAGGTAGCGCACTGCCTAGAGGTGCTCTGCAAAACGCTCACTGGCCCGATCACGACCCAAGCACGCCAAGACTTCCATCCTGCCGAGTTGGCAAATGATTACCAGATTTGTCTATGAAGGTAGTAGCACTGAACAAACGTATCAGTATCTCACCAAAAGCAAAAATTTGTGATAAATTGGGTTGGTACAATTTTTTCTTCCACCTCTTTTGACTGCAAATATTCAAGGAAATTGAGTACATGGAGTGAAGCAACAATTTTAGGAGAATCTTTCGGCTTTCTTGGCTTGGAACAGAATTAACTAGCACCTCGGTCGAAGAGAGTAACATCACATAACTAGTTGAGGAGTCTTTCCGAGTGGCCCACTCTTTGTCAGCATAGGACAATCGCCTATATTTCCGATTCCGTTCTCTCGCGATTTCTAGATTCAATGGTCAACTCTTGGTCGCCACACAGATCACCTGCGTAGCACAATGAGACTGTAAACACATGCCCAACGTCTGATGTTCAGCTGTTATAGAACAATTGGCTTCTCAACGACGATATTTCGATAACTAGAATGCTTAAGAGGCTGAGAGCATTACCGAACTATAGAAGGGACTCTGTACAAGTGCTTATGGGTATGAATGCCATTTACGCCACTATTTACTATATTTCAATGTGATGCATCATGGAAACATATTTCTGTAAGCATTTGGAAGTGTTTTGCGGCTTATGGTGAAATCACTTCTGTCTTTTGCCCGTTGTACAATAACTATGATTCACGGGAGCGACTAGAATCGAAATAATAGTCAAGTGCTGATCAAATTACCGGTTCAAGGCGTCATGAGAAGAAGGGGTTTCCGTGTATTTCTACGGAGAATAGAGCTTTTCCCGGCCGACACACGCAACAACGTCTGTGTTGCACAGGCTGTCCATCGATTAGAAGAAATGTGAAGGAAGTCCTGTGCGACAAAGTAAAGCATTGGAAAGAAAAGAACAGCTATAGTTGATCGCACCGGCCACAATGTCCCACCACAAATGACTTCTGCAGAGCTAACACTGCTTAAGAAAGCTTACCAACATACTTGGTCTTCGGCTGCAACAAATAACTTTACACGTAAAGCTGCATTCACAATTTTCTTCACAGTTCACACTTTTTCTCGGCGGATACAATCACCAGATGCTTCTACGAGGCTTCGGACCTTCAGCGGAGAAATGGTCAGACAGCCTCTATGCACAATTTAAGTTTTTAATAAATAGAAAGAACAGAAACAGTTTCCTTTAAAAAGTCCTGAATGACGGAGAGAGGGAAATTTTTTCATCTACTCACACATATTTTACTGGGAATTCATTTCACGTCCATTAACAATCTATCAAAGCTCGTGGTTGACCAAGGGATGAACCGTCCTAAATAAAACTCTTCCTAAGCTGGGTCTCATACGGAAATACGGCTTATCATCGATCCCTTATCGGCCCTATAGGCAAAGCAGTTCTACGACTCAACATCATCCCACTGATTGTTTACTGCGAGAATTCAGTGCATAATGTAATCACTCGATTGGAAGAAAATGGCAAACACACTGTGGACAATTCTTATAAACCTTCGTTTTGCTGATGTAACGGTTATCTCTACCATTTCAACGAACGATAGCAATAGGTCATAGTCGTAAGCCTCAGCATAGTGAGCAAAATGAATGGGAAGCCAATATTATTTATTTATCACAATGTGGTCAGCTACAGGTTAAAACATGGCTGAGAGAAAGACAAAAGGGAAAACTCACATGGTGTGGTGGTGAACACGTTAGCCTCCGGAAAGGCTAATAGCGGATTTGATCTCCACCGCTGACATCTGCGGTCCAGAGTTTTGCAAATATCAGCATCATTGCGGTTATATTAGTTTATTTATATCGTTTGGTTAACGTATGATCCCATATCACGATATCACACTATGTGGATGTGCGACTACGACTGCAGCTCGAGAATTTTTCCTCTTTTTGGCGAATGTCGTCAAGTGCTGGTCAAATCGTCAAATCGATGCTCCCTGGAATCCTAAGAAAGCTATGGCGGTCCCGCTTGGAATACAGGGAGTGAGGTTGTCCAAGACCAGGCGGGTACAAAATTCCCGATCCTGGTAGGATGAGAGGTTTGGTTGGCTCGGAGCGACATCGAGCTAATGTCGAGACAGCGAACTAGGGCTACTAATGAATGGTAAAGCATTCAATTGGTACAATGTAGAGAAAACCATGATGGATTGTCTTTTAAACTGGGATATTACGCGCTTTACAAGCGATTTGGCAACTTGGTCACACCAGGAATGTGCGGATCATTTATATGTTCTGAAGAACACCTTCTTCAAACGCTGGCTAACAGATGAATGAAAAAGTGGGTACCAGAGGATCTCACAAAATACTCCAGGTCACAGCCATCTACAATATAAGGCGGACCATTTAAAGAACAATGTCAACTCTATATTACAATATAGAAACCATTCATAGATCACATGGTTGTACTCATAAATATTAACGACATTATAAATGGATATCCGTGTAAGATGACACCGAGGAAATGAGACAAACAGAAGATGTCCTAAAGCCGACACCTCGGATGACGAGCTACCTAGCTCTTATTCAGGTAAATATAGTGAAATCAATGCAAAAGAAAACAAAGGAAATTTAAATAATACGGGTTATTTTTGTGACTACGTTTATTAACCTCCGATTTGAGACACTTATAGATCCTTCACTTCAGCCTTCACCTAAACTGGAAGATTCATTCATCAATCGGATCTTTCAACGAAGATTTAAAAGCTAACACTAGCCTATTTTATCTCCTAATTGAGAATACCTTCTCAAATATCGTAAACACCATGACACTGGCACTGTGATGACCGACAATATTCTAAGCATTTCGACGCTTATCCAGAATATTATCCTAGTACACGACAACACTACCTGACAATCCTAAGACGTCCATTTTTTTGAGGTTCTTACATTCCATGACGACAACGGAAAGCTTGTTCTTGCCGGGAACATAACGCAAAGCTACACAGACTTCTCCAAGGCGATTCTCCTACAAAATACCGTTTCATATAGAAAGAACTACAAATATATTTTAAAAAACGACGTGAAAGCTATCAAAATATAACTTTGTCTGCATAAATTTTGCCGTGATCTACACACAAGTGACCATAACACTCGTGTCCTTGCAAAAAATTCGAACAACTAGAATTAAACCCTAGATGCTATAGTAATTAATCCATTAGACAGTAGGCCGCTTATAGAAGAAAGCCGAGAAAGTAGCTGTACAGGCGGCTTAGTCCTTCAGTGGCTCAGAACGGGACAACTAACAAATTAACTCGAAAATCACCAACCGGCGGGCTCTCGATGAGGTCGGTTTTCTCGATCGTGGCCGCGAGGTCGATTTTGCCGAGAGGAACGGAAACTTGACCGATCTAAACTTATTTTACCCGTTTCGTTCCGTCTAATGGCAACGGAAAACATTGGTAATTATCCCACCTGATCGTGTTTTCCGAATCGGTCGAAGTCGAAAACATTCAACACTAATGTTTGCCCGCCAATTTCGTTGTATGGGATCTGAAATTCGACAGGCCTGAAGGACAAAGACAAGTGGAAAGTGGGAAAAAGAAAATAAGCAGCAAGTGATTTCTTCGCCTACACTTCATGCAACCCGCATTTAGGCTCATTCACTGGTTACAACAAGCGCGTTGTTTTCTGTGATGGCATACGAAGGTTATGCACTCGTTAGTCATAGTTTCTCAATAAACCTTGTTGGTCCTTCTATTTTAGGCTGTAACGCTGCTGACTTTTAAACTTCGACTTCAAACAAGTCATCACTATTACCGAACGTGGTGGTAAGTTGGTTAGAAACCCAGTAAATTTACTAGAAGAGACAGGGTGCTGTATCCTAGTGCAGCACTTCCAATTTGTTCGTTAGACCAGGTGTGGCTTAGTGCTGTCGTGCAGTAGAATTCGTCTTTTTCACTTGATCAATACAAAACGGAGATTATTAATCATGAGTGAAATTTCTCGAGTTCCCGGGAGTACTTCTTCTCTAATCGTTTCGTCGTCATTCAAAATGTTGTGCTGCATGATATTTTCTGCCGATTGCCTAACAATCACGATGACTTTCTTCTTTTTTTCATTTGTAAGCAATATTTTGGAAAAGAGTTCAGTTATTCACCTTTCTCTAGCCTTACACAGAAGCTGATCCCATATATAGCGCTTTAAAGATGAAAGCCATCACTACTGTAGTATCGAATGCATTGTCCCCAATACAATCCGTGAATTCTATGTTAAGAACGTGTCGACGTTAAAACGTTATTCCTACAACTCCTCACACACCGAAAATCGACTTGGGCAAGCCTTGTTGTCTTTACAACTTCATCATTTGAAGTTGCGTTATAATCAGCTTTCTTAATTACCAGCTCTCTGTTCTTATTATTATTTCCATTTTTATTATTTAAGAAGTGGAAAATCGAACAATTGAGGAAATCTGAAAGTAAAATTCGTCCCTTATCCGACTTCTTCACCAAAATCGAGCAATGTCTTTTGCTTGAGCACATACTCAACACTGGATTAAATTTTCTTCTTTAAAAGTAGGATGTAGAAGGGCAAAGGCCTCACAGCTTAACGTTCATTAGAAACAGTAGTTTCCGTGGAATTCACTTATTTTCCTGAATGCTTAAGAGAATGGAGTTTGCCGATAATCGAGTATATTTACTCAGACAGAGGTATGAAAGTACTAAATATAAAAGTTACATTCAATTGGCTTCGTTTAACATTCTTCCCTTCTAGTCAACAACAGCCTCTGTAGATTTCCTTTCACATGGAAGTTATTTGTTCATAAGAACTCTCTCATTGAAGAATCTCAAGGCTTCATAGGGACCACACCACAATCTAAATCTAATTGCTAATCTAATCCTTGCATGATCCCAGTTATAAGCTGAGCCACTTCACAGCTCTGTCTTTGTTGCAAAATTCACGGAAAACCTTTGTTATCAGCAAATAGATGAATTACTTCGTGTCTGACCTTAAATGTAAAGCTCTCGTTGAATACAGGATTCAGTGATTTTCGTTGGACTTTCGTTTGAAACTTCTTCTTTTTATCGGGAAGAAGAAATAGCTTGACGTAGGGATCTGAGGTCCCACCTAGATCCATAGCCGGTAGCTCTTCGGCTTGTATAATGACCACTGTCAGCTGAAAAACATCCCATAGAGCAACATTAATAATTGTTCATCATTTATAAACGCTTCTTTGTTAAACGAAGCCCTACTGCTATAATACTGAGATGTTTGCAAAACTCCGGACCACAGGTGTATGCAGTGGGGAACGAACACGCACTGTTGTCCTTACCGGGGAGCTGCTCCCCGGTAAGGACAACAGTGCGTGTTCGTTCCCCACTGCATACACCTGTGGTCCGGAGTTTTGCAAATATCTCAGCACTTCATACGAGTTATATTTCACAACATACCCTGCCATTAAGAGGAAAAAGGCAGTAAATAAAAGAGTTAAAATGGTTATGATTGTGATTATAACTATAACCTCAGCTTAACTGGGTTCAATGCCGATGTGGGCTCCCCAGATCAATTCCTTTGACGGGTGATTGCTGATTGCAAAAGATCGATAGAACTTGCTGAGAGAAAGGCGAAACGAACGACCCGCATGGTGTGGTGGTGAACGCGTTATTCCCGGAAAGGACAGTAGCGCGTTCGTTCCCCACCACAGATACCTGCGGTCCGGAGTTTTCCAAATATCTCAGCATTATGAAAGTTATATTTCGCAACTTACCCTGCCATTAGAAAGAACAGGCAGTTAATAAAAAGGTTAAGAAACCCTACCGATTTATCCTTATACCATCTACTGTGCCCAGCCTTCAAATGACCTTATTACCAAAAGTTATGTCAAACTGTTTAATTAAATAATCACAGGAGAAACACCGATCTTTTTTCCAAAAATCAAAAAAATTGTATAGTTTGTCAAAACTGGAGTGATTCCCTCGATTGCTTTCGAACACACCTACGAATCAAACAATGCATAGAGAGATCAGCTTGCATAAAGAGACACGTCTGCTTACACACCAAGCACAAAAATCCTCAGCTAAGTTTGGGTAAAGAAGGTAGGAACGGCAGAGAACCTGTGCGGTGTAGAAGCGGGTACAAACTCGATGCAGAAACTTCCTCTGTGACAAGTGCCTATCAAGGAATCGAAACAAACAACAAAAAAAACGATGAACCGAATTGATAAAGCAAAAAAAACGCCTGTAAAACTTCTGCAGCTCAAAGAAAAATTGGAAACATGAAGGCGAAGACCGTCAACGAAAGCTCTTTTACTCCAAAGTCCATGAAAAGCTTACCACTTATCACAATCCACAAGCTTAGCGAACAAGTATAGGTGTGGGAACTACTTTTGGGAGCTTCCAAGCAATCATTGCGCTTATGAAATATGGATGAAGAATAATTACCTGCTAGATGTTCCTTAAGGAGAAATCATCTAGTGGTAATCGCTAATTTGGAAGAAAACATGGGAACTAGAGTACATTTTTCAGTTAATTTCTACGGAATGTAAATGTTATCCAAATGCGAAACAATCGCCTTGGAGTTTAAAAAAAACTATGCGATTTTTTTATTTCTTAGCCATCCAATCCATCTTCGGCTGAATCCATTTGAATAATTCAAGCAACACTTCCTCGCTTACCGCGTCGTACATCGTATTTGGTGGGTTTCTCTGGTGTCGAGATGCGACGCGCAGTTGGCTGCTCATTTCCCATCATAGTGGTCCGAGCTGAATAGCCCGACAATTCAGCCGGGAAACCAAGTTAATTCTCAAGTCACCGCATAGTACAAGCAATTTTTGACTACCTTTTTATCAAGAGCAGTGAAAATAAAGAAACTATTGCAAAAAATGTAGTGACTCCATGTTTTGAACATACGAAGCGCATTGAGCAAACACAGGAATAGGAGCAGGCTAGTAGGTGATAGAGTGAATTCACATTTACAAGCCACGTCCCAGCACATCCCATACATAGGCATGGTAACGCGCGAGTGAAAATTATAAAGTGATTTGGATCAGCAAAAAGGTAAGTCCATCTTCTTAATTAATCGACGTTTTGAAACTAATTGATGGCCATGTTGTGCCGTGTTTAAAAGCCTATCGGCCACCTAGGAGCGTGCAATTACCTTTACTACATACCAACATTTGGGAAGCTCCACTCTTAACTTTTTTTGTTTCCTTTTCAGTCTTGAAATATTAGTTAAACATAGTTTAACAATTGGCAAATATACGACTCTCACTGAAATCTTGTAGCATTTTTCCACCAATGTGCACATCACAAGTGTATTAAAGGTTGCTCGTCCTTCTCTGTGATAACACCTGTGTCACCTGTAGTCCCATTGATAGTCGAGTGACTCGAGCGGGCGCCAGTAAATGTTCCATTTTTCCCTGTCGCGTACAAGAGTGGCCCAGTGGGTTCTGCTCGCTCTAGGGACTCGTCGAGCATCATATCTTTCTTCAAGGCTCTTTGTGAAGAACTCTGACCATCGGATCGGTGGTCTTCCTGCAGTACGTTTGACATCCCGAGGAATCCAGTCACTAAGGGTTCATGTCCATCGGTTGTCATTCAAATGCATTACGTGTCCGGCTCACTTTATCTTCGACTGCTTGGCGTACAGAACGGCATCTTTGATGTTTGATCGTTGGCGCAGGTCGGAGCTTCGGATCCTATCCTTTACTTTAGCGAAAGGGGATACTCCTAGCATCGCCCTTTCGACTGCACGTTCGATAACGCTGAGTGATCTTTCATCCTGCTTACGCAGCGACCAGGTTTCTGACGCATATGTTAGGGCAGGTAGTACCGTTGAGTTGAAAAGGTGGGCACGGAGTAGGGTGTTCTTTGTTCTCTTCACTACATTCTCTGTGATAGGGATCATTAATTTTTTCATTCCCTGTCTGCCTTCTCTATGTTGATCAAGTTGATTCATGTTAGACAGGTTTGTTACTGTGAACAACAATGAGTTTTTCAAGAATTTCTTAGGAGCTTCTTTTAAAAAAATTCAAATGAGGACCTAAGAAAAAATAGTTGAATTTAACTTACGGCGTTTTTGTCGAAATCATAGTCTAATTTATAGGAGAGCCGTCCAAGAAACTTTTTCTCCTTTTCATCCTCTTTCTTTTTTGACAACGACATCCTGGAAAACTCTGATCTAAGGGTTTCACAACAATTTACAATTTATTTGAAAGAAAACAGTTATCGATTGAGAATGAAAAAAAAGTATAATTCCTTTAGTGCACAGGGCGACAATCTTTTGTGGTTTTATCGTCAGTGACTTCACTTGCAACTTACAACCATACCCACTAGGTCGACCCAGCTCCAAGCCAGTTAATTCTCCCATCCTTTCGGGGTTACGAAACTGACACCAAACAGCTCTAAAGACCGACTTTCTATAAACCTCGGCATACATAGTTGATGTATTTATTTATATGATCTTATAAACTGATCTTCTTAAGCTGACGCAAGGTTGGTACATTTCTTCTATGTCGTTGTCGTTGTTTTTGATGTTGTTGGCCGATGGCCGACGTCTCGGCGACTTCGTCTTCCTCAGAGCCTGGACGTATTTTATATTAGAATATTTTCATTATTCGGTGGAAAAAAGGTTAAAGTATTAATGAAGATCAAATTATCAAATAAACGCCATATTGAACAGAAAGATCACTCACCGCAATGTTACGTGTTGGACTGGCCCACACGTAGTTCACGTGGGGTCGCGAGCAAGATGCATCCCAGGGTCAAAATATCATTTTGAAATAGGGCGCCAGGTCACGCGTGGTAGTGAGGCATTCGTCTTTCCGGTTCATCATTGGATTTTGGAAATTTTTCCAAAACGCCTCAAGAGTTTTGCGCGTTGATGTTTTTGATTCCTGCGGTAGGATCCGCACAGTCACTTTAAAATCATCGTCGTTGTGCTTTTGCGCCCTATGCGTACCTAGAGGAGTGTTTAGACGGACTTTAACTTTCCCATCTAGATGTTCTTTTATGCGGACACAAAGTGGTCTAGCCGTTTCCCCAATATATTCCTCGCCGTATGCGTTACATGAGATCAAGTATATTATACCTAAATTTCAAAAATCCAAAGATGAACCGGAAGGACGAATGCCTCCTCACTAACACGCGTGACCTGGCGCCCTATTTCAAAATGATATTTTGACCCTGGGAAGTGTCTTGCTCGCGACCCCACGTGAACTACGTGTGTGCCAGTCCCACACGTAACATCACAGTGAGTGGCCTTTCTGTTCAATATGGCATCTGTTTAAAAGTTCAATCTTCATTAATACTTTAACTTTTTTTTCTACCCAATAATAAAAATGTTCTAACATGAAATACGTCCAGGCTCTGGGGAAAGCGAAGTCGCCGAAACGTCAACCATCGATCAACGACATCAAAAACAACGACAACGACAACGAAGACCAGCACCAACCTCGCGTCAGCTTAATAAGATCGTATAAATAAATAATACCAAACAAGTACAAGAGCTACCAAAGGTCTATAAAAGCCAGTGGTGCATGTGCTAGAGCAGAAGAACTATCCCAGAATTAAAGAGAGAATTAACTCCACCAGCATTCAACAACATTCATGAAGAAGGCAAAATCCACAACTAGCAGCCGCAGCCAGTTATGAAGCCTCAAGAGAATGTGGATAACAGAGAGTTTGGGGGTACAACGGATACAGCACAACGGACCGAAGGAAAGAAGCACTATGATCCGCAAGAAATTTGATGATAGGGTATACAAACAAAATGAAATGAAATAATCTGAGGCGAATGTCCGAAGACCAGTTGTGGTGGAACACTCTCTGTGAGCGATGCAAAAGGATATTGGACAGTTCTATCCGAAATTAATGGGTGCATGTGGCGCAGTAGAAATAGGTGCCCTGTGGCACACTCACATGGGATCGATCCTCGCGTCCCTGGCTCACCAAGCCTTCTCTTTCTCCGCGGTCGGCGAATTAGTACCAGACTTGTCTGGGAGGATAGCAACACTGGCGCAATACCAGCACATCCCTAAGCGATTGTTCAACGCTGAGAGCTTTATCTTTTACCCTTTCTATCAAACCTTGAGTTTCTAGCCAGAGAGGAATCCATAAAATATTTGGACAAATAGTAAAAGCAGTAGTTTGGTCTAAACTGCTACCAGCATATTTCTAATGTCAAATTTTCCTAGTTATTACGTAGTGAGGTGCATTAGTAACCAAGATAGAAAAAATGACGGCCGTGCTGAGTTCATTTTATTATAGCACCATCAGCCATAGACAAGAGCAAAATATATGAAGTAGTAAATCTTATTACAGGGAAGCTGACTTAATTCGATTGTGCTGGCGAGTATTGAATAAATACTTGGAAAAATTAAGCATAATAATGTATAGATTAAGCTTTGTTGAAAGGGCACTCATGTAGCCCAGTGATCGGAGGAGCCCTGCAAAACAAATGGGATCGATCCCGTGCCCATGACTCACCAAGCCTTCCACCCTTCCGGGGTTGGGATAGCAGGAACTGGCTTGATACATCGGTAGGCCACCGCGAGTCATTGTAAAGGCCAGATATGCATTCGATCATCTCCAACGACGCTTAATGAAGTCGAATGTACAGCGCATCCCTCATGGATAGATCAACGCCGAGTGTTTTATCCTTTTATCCTTTGTTTCGCAACTGTAGTATTAAATTCCTTTTAATGGATTGGCTGAAAATTAATGTAACCAGGCCGTTCTCTTCTTTATTTTTCAAATTTATATCCACAAGGCCTTGCTTCGGTGATGTGGTCGTCAATAGCAACAGCACTAGGTTTAGTGGTTAAGCGGTTCACTACAAGTTGAGTCATATTCCTCTGGTCATCGCTTTAATCCAAGTCGGTGATGAGACTGCCGCAAAAATAGTTTCATAGATCTTTACAGACCTGAAAAACCGTGGTGAGAGCCAGACGTCTAGGTGTTACTAGCCGATTGTCTCCAGTCGCTTGGGTACTGCTTTTTCACAGCAAAGAAAAACTCCTAAAGGTAAATTACATAATTGTTCTCGTCAAACCATTCATTGTCTAACATGAGTGAGGGTTCGCTTTGCGCTCAATGGCGGTTATTCGCCCGGGAGGGTACAGCTCGTCAACCGCTAATCGGAACGGAATTTGTGGCATAATTATTCATAATAATTCTGCAATAGCCGATCAGTGTGAGTGGTCCTAGGATGTTGTCATGGGCCGAGCGCTCCAGCTCGTGTGTTGTGTGACCGGATGCTCTTTAAACCAACGTCCCTGTTCTTAGTCATCGTTGGAGAAGTGGATGAACCCCGAGGATTTCGTCGCCCATTTCACTGACGGCAGAGCGTGCGAACCTGCAAGACAATCAAATCGAACAGCATGTCCTCACCAAGATGCCCCTTTGTTCACTGTTTTTGGCACCACGCCTACTTTTTCCAAGCAAATTTTTGCAACGGATGTGCATTCATTTGGCGTTTGTTTATTTCTTTTCTTATTGGCCTCCTTTCTTATCTACTTGCGCTCTTTACATAAACGATGAGAAACCTCTTATAATATTCCGTATGATTTCTGAATGCGTCAAGAAGTTGAGGAGAAAAAGAAGAAAACAGAACTTCCTCAAAGTAGTGCATTAGTTTGCAGTCAATTCAACGTGTGAACATAGAGTCCAACACTGAGCCTTTGAGGAAACATTTTTATTCAAAACTCAACAAAAGTTTTGTAATGGAATTGCGGGATTAATGTTAGATGTATGAGGTAAACGAATAGCAGACTGGTTACTCTTTTATGAGACTAATCGAACGCCATCTGTAAGAGCACCTATTCACTGGTAGGCGAACAAATCTGAATAGAGTGCAATTCATGAAAAAAGCCGCAGTGCAATGGAGAAGTCGTGATTGATTTCTGGATGGTAACGAATACCACGCACTATAGAGTGATTGCAAAGTGACTCCCTATATTCAAATGTTCGTAATTTATTTAAATATTCTGTTTCAGTGTGGCCCCTTGATGCATGAGAACTAAATCCAGTTTTTTCTTTCAGATAAACCGTCTTGTTTGAGATTTGGAACCCATACAAACATGGCTGAGCGTCTTACCATGCAAAACTGTGCACAACGAGCTGCACGTCACGAAATTTGAAGATATGTTTTCCAAACACAAATTTGCTGGAAGACCATTAAAGTAAGGCGTATCCAAGTTTACAACAGATAATCAAGAATTCTTATGCAAAACTCATGACTACGGTCTTCTGACAGAAGTGTGGTTCCTTCGTTCTTCGGGATACCATGACTACCGAATGGTACCTCACCATGCTGCAAGATTAAATCTCACCAGTTATCAGCACTTGGAACTATATTGAAGGCTTGATTTCCATGCAAGATGGCGTTCCTCCACACTTTATTATTGCTATTCGTGAATCGCATGGGAAATGGACGGGCCGTTATGATCCGCATGAGCGAGCAGCCAGAAGCTCTGAATTAACACTCTGCGATTTTCCGCTTCAAGGTTTGTTAAAGGACCAAGTCTATTCTACCAAACTGACGGGTTTGGGTGAACTTGAAGAGCGAAGGCGAGAAGTTATGCCTTCAATACTACAGAAGACCTTGGTGAAATCAGTTTATGCGATTCCTGGTTGGCTTGGGAGGCCATTGGCAAATGCTGGTGCCCATATCCAATATTTAGCATAACTACTATCCGTAATTTAAGCTTCCTTCTCAGATTCATTTCTTGTAGAAATTATAGCCCAGAAGTCAATTACGAGGATTTTAAGATACGAGATGACTTTTGAACTCCCCTTTACTTTTATGATGAATCTTCGATGCATACAAAGAAGACGGTAAGAGCTATGGACTTTTCTTGGACCAATATAGTTGAAACCCGGACACTTCAGGTACGTCAAAGATTTTACGCATCATTCTCTAAGCGCTTTGAAAATGTAATCACAAAATAAACAACAGATATCAAACAGGAATTACATTTCAAACTGACAAATAGGCGGTTTCAGTGACCCAACATACTTCGCATATGAGGCAGAAAAGATGAGCCATCGCATGTTGAGAAGAGACTATGAGAAGTGGATGGGAAGGACGTTAGAATGAACGTCATGGACGTGCAGGAGTTCCTTAGAGCTACTATTTACGACGGGGTATGTTCGTTCTTTTAGCT